CCTTTGGTTTGTATGGCTGCGCAGTTTTGATGAAATGATTGTGGCGCATTTTTTCTTTCTTGTCTGCCCTGTTACCAAAAGACTCATGGCTTTTACACATCTGAGGAGTAGTACTTGAAGGATTTCGCCCAGATCTCTGCAACAAGGAGAAGTGGTTTGGTTACTGAAACATTGATGAACTTATACAACAGCACAAAGAGAATTCTCACTAGATATTTAACATGGTTTCTTGTTTGTTTTCATTATTTTTAAGAAGTCACTAAATGGGCAGTTACACTTGTTAGTTAGCGTAGCTTGCACAAAAAGCTAAAATATCTGCATCCCAAGCCCTGGTGAATCAGTGTCCTGGTGAATGTGCAATGTCCATTCTTCCCCTGTGAGGAGGAAGAGAGGGAATCACAGAGAAGGAATTAGGATATGCTAGAATAAGGTTGAGGAGAACAAACCCAGTTGTTTGTCCTCAATCCCAATATGGTTCTCAGCTGCCCTCATAGCCCTTACTATTGCATTTAAAAGAGCCAGTCCATTGACAAGAAGAACAAACCAACAAGGATTCAATCATTCTACAAAAGACAAGGGTTTGGGTTTTTTCAATTGAGAACAAATGGGCTGTTACCCAAGTGCACGTACCCGATTGTTCCCGCTGAGACTGTTGTATATCGCTCTAAAGCGTTTCCTTGTATAGGTGCATCTGTAGGTTCCTCCCATCAGATATTCAATAACCAGTCCCACATCAATCAGGTTGATTTTATATCCTGGAGGAAGATTTCCCTAGGAATACAAAACTTATTTTTGCTTTTTGAAGGTATAATATTAAACTTGCTTAGAGTGTTTCTACTTTATCACAGCTCTAAATAATAATTTTAAAAGAGAAGCTTTTCATGATAAAAAAAACCTCTAACATAAAAGCCAAAAAGCTTCTACATGGCTCAACAGTTATTATTTTTAAAGAAAGACCATGCTATACCTTCTTTTCTACATTAACTCCCCTAACAGAATAGATACTCATGTATTGGTAGGGGAGGCACTGGGAATCTTTTGTCTACTGTTTTAACAGGCAAAATTTCTCCAGGCTGGGAGCATCAGTTTTCAATCCCTCCAAGAAGGAAAATAATCAAAAGTAAGATGAAAGACAACACTCTTTAAAGTGTAACATCTTTCAGGCAACAGGGAACCAAGCATACAACAGACAGTATTGTAAACTACCAAAATTTCTGCAGAGGTAGCTTAATACTTAAAATTCAACTAATAAGCTGCAGATCAAATTGATAATCAAATACGAGAAATTAACAGAAAATAGTTTGCTAGTTTGACAGATTTTTTTACATGGACAGCATACCTGTTTGACATCCCGAACAAGATGAAAGAGTGTTGGATTAGTTGGCCCTTGTTTCTTTATAACAAAAGAGAGGGAAAATTTGGAATGAGAAATTCACGTGCAACACCGTAAGAGGTTGATTTTAGAAACTAATTTAAAATATAAAAATATAATATAATACAAATAAATATAATAAATAAATAAACTTCTCAAGGAGGCTTCTCTACAGCACTTTATTAGCTAAAGAATTCTTTTTTTTTTTTTTTTGTCAAAAGCACATAGTGAGACTTAACACAAGCCTAAGCCATATTTGTGTACTACTCACATCAGCTAATTTTTGGTGGAAGGTTCTTTGTTCTGTCTTTGGATACCGTTATCAAAATTACCTTGGAATTCTTAGATCAACACCTACAGCAACAAAATTTTTCTAAGTAATAAGTATAACTATGCAGGTTGAAAAATTAAACTCTTTCTAGAACTATTATGATGTTAACTGCTACAGACAGAATCCATCCTATTAAGCCCTATAGATATCAGATTCTGGGCACAAGTTTCACCCACAGGACTTTCTCGCATTCTCTTCCCCACTGTGGTTTGCACACTCTGTGTGTCCACAGCAGAGCTGCAATTTTCCCTTTACTGTCTATCCCCACCACCAAACATAGATGAACACCCTTCTGACAGGAAATTCTGGTGCTGCTGGGGCTGTGCATCCACTTCCCAACTCCAACCTCATGCACAGCAGCCTTCTCTACCAACATGCCACAACCTCCACACTGCTGTACATTAGCCAGGACACAACAGGCTGAGCAACTAAAAAACTGCTCTAAAAAAAGCTTAAAAAGCAATCATTTACTTACTGTGTTATAAAGTTCTTCCAGCCTGGGAATTGTAAGAAATTTGTGCATGCTTACTCCGTTTTCAATCAGAAGTTTCACAAATGCAACTCTGTCCATCACAAGGGCATCCAGCATAGCCTGTTCCAGGGAGCCAACCTACAACAAATAAGTGAAAAGGTAGAGCCTAGAGAGAGGCAGTAAAAAAGTGAGCTTAGATACTGTATCAGCCTCCTTGATTTACAGGGCTGGAAAAACATTACATGTCTATGAAGGTGTCACCCTACGTTCAGAATGTCCCCTGAACTTGACACAATTACAGGATGGGAGAATACCCTGAAGACTTGAACTGTTCTATACATACTGCTTACTGAGACAGTGGAACTAAGGAGACATTTGGTTCAACATAACAAAAAAGACATAAAATATATAAAGCACAATTTGCTTCAAAGATGTCAGAACCATCATGGCAATCAGTAAGCCTTACACAGTGTGTACTTCTGACTGCAGACTCAATAAGCTTATGTTTTATTTTTACAGTAATAGGGAGAAAAGGCAAGAGCTCTCAAACTCAAACTACAAAAAACAGACATTTTTGTCCCTCCCTCAAAAGACACTGCAGCACTGCCAACAGTGCATTTTACTAGATGCTTCTTAAGAACTTTCTAGGGCCATGCAACTGTAATGAAGAAAGAGCACCTGACTAACGTGAATACAGCTTCCACCTTTTGTAATATATTTTCTCTGCCAGTTATTCAGAACAGTTACACATTTCTAAAATTTCTGGAGCATTTTCAAATACATAATAGCAAAACAGCTTTAAAGCTGTGCAGTACACCCAAATTACTGTCTCAAAATAAATGTGTCAGTAGTCCAAAGTCTCTTTCTACAAAAGTCAAGATTCATCCTTTAGAGTAATTTGTGCTTCTCTATATTAGGAATTACCATTCTGCTTAATCCAGACCATTACATACCAGCCATTGCTGCCCATAAACAAAAACATGATTTTTGGCTATGTCAACTCTGTCCCATGCAAGTGTAAGAACGAGCTGGTCAAATGCAGATGCGTTTGTGCCTTAAGAAGCAAACACAATAAAGAAAATTTAAAATTAATTATAAAACAAGATAATAAACATTCTTGCTTTCTAAAAAGGCTAAATCAAGCAATTCACCACAAAATTATGCTGTACATGTCATCATCTATGTCACGTTATAGCATTATACAATGAGAACACAGATACTTCTTTTTTTAAAAACTTACAATTCTTATTGGTATTTTATAAATAATCCATCACATAAACACTAATCAATAATAGCTGGAGGTTCCAAATGATCTTAAAAAATTAAGTCTTACCTTTCAACAATGCTGTAAGTATTGCAACATCAATGTCCTGATGTTCATCTGACCCGATATGAAAAACTGTAATCTGTCCAAAATGTGGAAAACGTATTTGAAAGTTATTTTCAGGCAAATGTGATTGGCTTCAGTCTTTTAAATCTTTTTCAATTCCTGACATAAAAGACACCTTGTCTTCAATGGACCTTGAAGCCTGTCTATGCTCAATTTAAACCTTAAGTATGCATTTTGTTTTGTTTTCCTAAGTGGGAATGTTAAATCAATTTAACTTCTTTTCCTCCTATGATTACAATTCACCGCTGTCTATAACACAGTATCTGTTTACGTCTCCAGCCCATTACAGATTAAGAGATTAACCTGCCAGCAACCATGGTCAGCTGAATAAGGTGTAATATTGTATCTCAGAACAGCACAATGTGATGTCCAAATGAGACACCAGTCCCTGAATTCAGGCTACATATAACCTCTTTAAAGTGGTTTTGCTTTAAGCATTCAGTGATAGTATACCTCTATTGGTAGTCATAAATAAAAGATTAAAAAAAGAAAAAAATCCACAAATGCATTTACCTTGCATAGAAAATTGTATGTCAAGATCTACTTACAAGCTCTTTTCTTTTCATGCATTCCAGCAGCGTCTGAAACAAATGAACTGCTTCACTTTGACCAAAGTTAAATGTCTTTTTGATGGTTGAAATGATTTCAGGCTCAGCACCCTCAGGAACATTCCTGAGATTGAAACAAACAAACAGGAAAACAATTGTTTTAGATGAACAGTAATAACAACAATGCATTTAATTAGTTTCAACATGTCCATTCAAAGTCCTGCTATCTATAAGCTTATTACTGTTGCTGTGGCAAAACCTTGGGTAACCTTTAGAAAGAACTTCAGGTTACTTAATCTGCAATTCTATACTACTGCCTCCTAAAAGGCAACTCAGCTCAACTCAACTCTCTCTCCCTTTCCTTCCCATATTGAGTTCTGAGATGTTCTCAACCAAAAGATTTTGACACAAAATAATAAGCAGTGACTCCTCTGAATAAGATCCATTTTTGATCTTACCCCAGACAAAGCTGTTTGGTTTACAGCTACATTCGATCCCTGCCTCCCCAGGTTTTGAGGCAGCCCCTGCAACAAGGACTCAATGTGTTTAAGGATTTATGCAAGCCTGACAACTAACTAGAAATCACCAAGTACTGTGGAGCCCTAGTACATCCATTTTATTATTTGAAGGTACACTCAAAACAGGCAAGTGTTTTCTGCACTAAACAGAGAAAGCTTTCATACAGATTCATGAAGAAATGGTCTCAAAACTCATCTGTGGATAACAGACACACACAGATGCCATGCATGTGTACATCTTGTCATTTATCTGTGTATGACAAGAACTGTCTGGACACAATCCTGTGCTGTGTGCTCCGGGATGTGCACTGTGGTCACCTCCAACCTGACCCATTCAGTGGTTATGTGACAGTTTGGCACTGCTGGCACTTACCCCCCCTCCTCTGTTTGCTTGTGAACATAGGCCAGGATATCTGCAGCTCTGCCAGTTCCTTCACACACCACCACAGGCACCGGAGGGCTCTCCTGAAGGAAGTCTAGAACTGTGAGGATGACATTGGGGCCACCTTCAAACACAAGTGCCACCACAGGCACACCTTGGCCAATTCCTGGAAAATGGCAAAAAATAATAAAACTCAGACAATGTCACAAGTGTACAGTGAATGCTAAGGCCAGTTTTGCATATTTAATAAATCAGGTTTGTCCTTTCTATTGAATCAACATTAAAATGCTGCCTGTCAGATATTCACTGTTGGTAATGCACAGTTTCAAGAACTTTATGTTCTGGACACAAGCAGTGCCAAACTGGTCAATACAACAGGGTACAGTCTACAAAACAGAAGAGATTTCTCATAGAAACATTCATGAGCTAATGCAAAAAAACTGAAGAATTTTTCTTTATGGAACTCCTCTTCATTTTCCCCAATAGTTTTCAAAGGTGACAACGCATACACGGTTCGAACACAGGTACATGGGAACCCTCTACTGATGGGAATTATTGCAAAAGCATTCCTATAAGGGTCAAAACACATGTGTTGCTCCACAACTGGGAAAACACCAAACTGTGAAACTGCAAGTGATCAGTGTCAAAACCATTAATTAACCAGAACAATAAGGTCTGACAACACACCAGCCCCAGAAGTGACGTAAATTTGTTTTCACAAAGTAAATAGACAACTTTATTAAAAAAGGATTTCTCTGTGGTCCTAGAGAAATCATAACTCTCTATCAGCAATTACTAGGGTCCAGAGCAGCTGCTGAAATTTGCAATTTTTGACTTGAAGTATAAACAAAAGCTTTAATTTTTTTATTTTGTCATTCAGATGTTTGGTGCAAACACCTTTTTCACTAAGGCGTAGTAACAGCCCTCAGGCACCAGAATTACTTACTTGCATGGATCCGCTGCAAATTAATAGTTTTTTCCAGTTCTCTTCTCAGTTTAACTTCTGCTCCATACTTTCCAACTGTTCCATCATCCACCAGAATGAAATGGGAATGGAGGTTATTTAGGACGTTTAGTTTACTTAATGGATTTAACAAGGTCTGATATGGAGCAACCACCTAAGTGTAAGCACACAACAATGTCTTTTACTTGCAAAGATTCACACTGGTTTCTGTGAAACTCAACTAGATACAAGAACCAGTGGCTCAACAAGCACTGACACATATAAGGAAGTACTGACACAAATAAGCACATCTTGGATCAGGACACACCAACAGCTGCAGCTCTGAACTTTGTGCAGGGAAGCAGATACTTGTATTGTTAAAGGATGCTATTCTGAAGGGTAACAGAGAAAAGAACCTTTGAAAAGGTGTCTTTGGGGGAAATTTGTAACTTCTCTGGTGAACAGTAGCTCTGAAGGTTCCACATCAAAATTTTTCAACTTATTATCCTCTCTAAATATGAATTCTCTGTAATACTTTTACATTTTTGTTATTTGATTCAATAATATCAGGGGGGTGGGGGAGGAAAGACTAAGTACTTAAGAACAAGCTCCTCCTTGTTGCATTTGCATTTTGCAACTTGTTTACAGTAACGATCTTGCATAAGTCACAGATGTCAGTGTATCCTCATAGTAAAGCAAGTATTCCAATGATGCAAAGCAAGGGAAAACATGCTTGAGCAGATGCGTCAAAAGTAAATGAGGTAAATCATTATTTCAGTTAGGTAATTCATCCTTACATCTCTTCCAACAAGGTCGTTTCTGTTTTCAATCACTCCCCAAGGAGCAATCCCAATAGTGCAAATCTTTCGAGATGATCTGGAAGCGTGTTCTCTTAGAGCATCGCCAACATGTTTTGCAACACCTGTTCGTGCATAAAAAGGTTTCAGTGCATTGAATGCCACATCTTACTAAGAATACAAATATTTATTGGACCTTTAACTCTTTTTATTTAGATAACCAGGCCTTTAAGGATCTGGAAACTTACTGACACATTACCAAAGAAAAGGCATCATGCTACATCTACTAGGAGGAAACAGTCATTCAACAAAACAAATATTAGCCTAGCAAGAACTAAATAGTTTCCAGCACATTACTGTACTTTTTTTAAATCACATTAAGCTCTTCCTTTTTTCAAAAACAAAACAAAACCCAGAAAACAAACAAACAAACAAAACTCAAAGCCAGTCCCTCTGTATGTTATTTCTCTTTTAAAGATGAAACAGTATCCCACTTTCAAATACATATTCAAAACAAATTATTTTAATTTCACTTGATCAAACTCATTCAAATGTACTTTGTTTTAAGATGAAGCAATGCATCCATACATTAAATCTTTCAGCTTTTATAAAACTGCAATCCAGTTAATCATGCACATTCTTTGCTAGTTCCTTACCTGTGTTCACTCCTCCAGTTATAATCCAGGCTCCTGTGGTTACTGCAGCTTTGATAAGACCTTTGCCAAGCAACTGTTTGATGCGTGGGTGAAGTTCAAATTTCTGCATGCCCCCATGGACAGATATGACAAGCTTTGGCAATTCCATCTGCCATTCTTTAAGCATAAGTTGCAGAATAGCTTCAGGCTTAGTGTCATATGACAATCGCACATACTGCAGGCACAAGAACAGAGTTAAAAGGTTCAAATGTGAAAAAAGAAGAACCAGGATTATATGTTCAGAACATATTATCCTACTCCTAGCTATGGAAATGGTAACTCACTTTCTCAAAACACAGCAGTTGCAATAAATGAACAAGCTTCCTTTATATCCTCTATGGCACAGATGAGAGAGCTTTGCAATCAAGTTTTGGAAAGGAAATAACTACTGAAAGATCATGGTATTCCATCCTACTGGCACAGTGACCTAGAAAATGACTCTATGAAAGTACTGGATGATCTATAAATTAGATAAAATTCAGGAGTAGCTACAAAAGCTCTGTCATCTGCTGGGAGAGGCTTTTGTGTCCCCTGCAAAGAGTTTTACAATTGCTTGGTTTTCCCTCCCTGCTCCTGGTGGGAAGGAAACCTACATTTTTCAACAGAAAATTTCAAAACTGGCAGCTTTTTAACACACTGTGTTTAACAGCATAAGATTAAGTAGATGGTTGATCAGCTACAATGCTGCCACATCTTCAGTATAAGCTATTGAACAGAGGAGGGGACAACAGGCAGAAATTGAACCTTTCCTGAATAAATTTCTAAGCAAAAAAACAACACTACTCCATTAAACTGGTTTGAGCAACCCCACTTGCACTCTGCAGAAGGAAGCAGAAATTAGTGTGGGCTGCCTGCTGTTTCTGTGCTCCTAGAAAAGGGTTTACAGCAATTTTAAGCTACACTAAGTACAAAAGAACCCATATACTGCTTTTAAGAACATGAAAGAACCATGCCAAGGGCCCTTCTCTCACAGAGATGATCTGACCTGGAGCACTGGACTGTCCTTAGGGTTTCTGCCAGCTGCACACAGAACACAGCTCCCTCACTCAAGCACTTGGGTTTGACCACAGGAGTCACACTGTACAAGAACGCCCTGTAGCCTGTAACTGCACAAGCTTTAAATAACTTCTACCACAACTAAAAATCTTTTACAAAGAGAAATCAGAAAGAATTCAAATCACAACAAAAATGCTAGAATAGAAGAGGGCACTGGTTTGTTACAACAGAGGTGTTAATATTTTCAGCCTTCAATTTCAGAAGTTAAATGAAGCATTCAGCACAACATGGTTAGAGAAAGAAAAAAGAGAAACAACAGAACATCATACATGCCTTAGCCCTGTAAGAATGAGAGCCACCTTGAAAGTTGATGACACCATAAGCATCAGTAGAGGTCTGTTCTGTGTGTTTTTCCACTGACCATTCTTCTATTTCCTGATTGTAGTTTTCACCCAGCTTCACATCGGAGTATTTCATCGCCAGACTGGCAGTGAAACAAGCGTGTTGTCTGACCAAGCGGCCACAGCAGCACCTGCCCCCAGCCAGACATCGAGAACGCTTTGGTAAATATTACCATTGTAAGACAAAAGAACTTCCTTTATCAATAACAGGAATAGAACAGGTTTAGAAAGCTAGGATTCTATATATTAGATAAACCTCATTTCCAGAGTGAGCCTTGTTGCCCATAAATATTTACAGCAAGTCAATTACAATACATATTACTATGCAAAAGCTCACTAAGCTCACTAAGGTAGCAAGCTGGAGGCCAGGAGAAATTGCTTCTTTGATGGAAAGAAATTAATATAACATTTATAAATCCGTGACCTACTTATTGCAGACAGTTCTTTAAACATTATTCATATTTTTTTTCATATGTAACCTTTCACCAACTTGTCACTCATAATATTGATCAAAACTTTTGAAAACCCTATTATGAAAGCACTTATTTAATGAGAAAACATTCATAAATATTGTAATTACAAAGACTTTTTTTACCTGACAAGTTGCTGACAAATCTGACATCCTGGAAGGCATCTGTAAGGAATATTTAAAGATATGACTAAGCTTCTCACATAATTCACACACAACAGTAAGCAATTCAACAACCATAGGCCATTCTTAGAAACTGAAGGACAAAATGTGGTGGGAAAGTTGTAAAGTCCATTGTAAGCTACAAATAGGTTAAACTGAAAGGGCAAGTGTTGAAGACCTTGTTAAATGCTCTGGAAATTTGTTCCTTGTTAAATGCTCTGGAAATTTTAACAGCTTCCTAATTACTTTGTTTGCATTTGCAAATTTTCCATGTGCTGCAATTGTGGCTATAAATTCTAAAAGCTTCTCATGTCACATGATTTCAAGGAATGTGGTGAATTATTTACAATAATTTGAAAATTCTACAGCATTTAGTTGTTTTTCGGTTTAAAAACAAAGTACTTAAATGAAAAATAGTAACCTGCCCTTCTATAACAAAAGAGATTAATAAGTGTTACTTAACAAAAGAGTGAAATATAAGTTCTCAACCTCAGAAGAAAAGGTTTCTCAGCTGCTCTCACATATATGAAGCTTAAGGAAAAAGAAGGTGATCTGAAATCAGTTATTACAATAGTAAACTATATGGGGAGACAAAACTGCCTTAAATCTATTTTCAATTTGACTTTATTTTATCTCAAACTCAATCATCATAAGAACTCTTAAATTATACCTGCAACACATGGTGAAAGTCAGATAGATATACATTACAGTTATCACTGACTTGCTTGATTTCACACCTCTAATTTAAGATAAGATAAAAACACCATGTGAGATATGCAAAATTTCTTAGCCTCAACCTCCCCTCTAGAAACATCTTTCCCCATTTTTCAGCCTAGTTTTTTTTTCCCTTTAAGAACTTAAGGATGAAAAATTATTACATATCACATGAAATTCGAAAAGTTCTTACTTATGTTTTCCCTAGAAGCAAGTATTTCTTCAGCTTTTTTTTTTTTTTTTGTAAATCCTTTCCCCACCTCAATTCTTGTTTTTCTTTATTCTTCTATGAATTCTTCACCCTTTTTCCTACACTGTCGGTTGGTTTTCACACTTCACCCTACACTTACAATGATGTTTTTTAAATTCCAGTAGAGAATATCTCTATGAGACTTTTTGACTTCAGAAATTCCTTTTTCACACCCCCTCACTGTAAACAGATCACAGACATCAGTAGGAGGAATGGAAAGAAGCAGCAAAGGGAACAGGGGAACATTTTTCGGAAATTTCTGCAATGCCAAAGTACTTTAGAAACAGAAAATCCAATTCACAGAGCAACAATGTCCAGTCATGAAAGCACAAACCCAAGACAGTATTTCATACAGAAAAACCAGTCCAACACTCATAAGAACACTGACTTTTTTAACATTAAAGAGCAGCAATGAATTCTTGCATCATTTCTCATTTACCTGTGGGGGTCTTTCGAACTTGGTATAATATACACACACTCCCTCTTTGTGAAAGTATTTTCTATCCAGGATTTCTGGGACTGAAAAACAAAAAAATTGACAGTATTATAAAATACAAATCACATACCTTTGCAATGAAAAATGCTTTTTGAGGAAACAAGAGTTAGAATATGAGGTTTGTTCTCTCAAAAACTAACAAAACCTTGTATGACCTGATAAAAGCATCTCACACATCTCTCCAAAAGTTGAGATAACCAGAATCATTAATTATGTAATTTCTATTGTATGTATACACAAATCACTTAAAATCAGAAGTAAAATATTTTTCAAAGCTAACATTCAAATAGCAAAAATTTTAATATGCAAATAAACGTGTAACAAAAAAAAAAAAAAAAAAAAACCCCAGACAATTTTAAGATACACTGTTTACCCCATCTTGCTAAGAAAAATAAACAGGTAAAATTTTTAAAAATTACCTGCACTAAACTGAGATAATACTAATTTCATCTATTTTCCTCCTTAATGAAGTTTCATCTTGAAATTGTGGGTAAGGAAACATTCTAACAGCACTGGCAATCTTTTCAACTAGCAATAAATAGGTCATAACCTTTGTTCTTCATCAAAAAACTTGTCATTTCAGTAAATAAAATTAATTGATATCTCTGAACTGTGTTCTAAGGTTAAACTTGAAACATGTTCTGAAGCATGAAATTAAGGTTGCTTACAATTCTAATCACTGGACATAATTTAATTTCAGTTGCTTTAAACAACCACATTAATATTATCTTACATAATAATCTTAAATTAGTTGCTAAACAACATCATAATGCATAATGTCTATGTCATGTTTCAGCAATACACTGGGGAAAAACTTCACACAGGACTTTGGGAAATTAAAACCATTAAAAAATCCTGGAAGGCTAATTTGCATTTTATGCAATATTACTTTAAATCCTTACTGAGATGACATTAAAATTACTTCATTGCTAAGAGCAATGTACTACATTTACATTTTACCTTTTGAAAGATTTGATAAATTTCACACTGCTTTATTTTACAAGAAGAGGAAAAAGACTGATGGATATTACAGGTATCTAATCACAGGTCTGCAGAAGTGATGAAGAAATCAAGATTTATTTTTTTATTTAGGATTATAAGAGAAGTTTAAGCAAAGATGGATGCATTTTTCACTCACTGCAAGTTCAGCATCAGTTGAAGGTAATACAGAGACATTTACAAGTAAGAAAGTACCAGTTAATTTTTATAAAGACCCCCAGAAAACTGCTCCTGAACTGCCCACCCCCTTTCAAAATATTTCCCAGACTCAGCAGATCTTTCCTACATTATTCATCACGATCACCTTCCAATATTTTGCTTCAGTGAACTTTGATGATGGATTTATCAAGACAGCAACAAAAACTGCTGCTCCAGATCCTGTCTTCACATTAAGAAGGCCAACAGCCTCCCTCTTCCAAGGAGTAGGAGAAGTTGCAGAGTAAAGGCACTTCTCCAGACAGAAAGATGTACAATCCACAGCAAAGAATCATGGAAGGAAAAGCAAGAGAACAGAATGAGCACTCACACAGTGCATTTTACACTTCAACTAATCCTTTAAACACCTGGAATAAATTAAATAGCCAAGGTCATAATTTGCTGCTGTCCTAGAAGCTACTTTCTCCTGCCTGAGTCCCCATTATTTACATGGGAATTTTTGTATTTAATTTTTTTAAATTGAGCATTACTTTAACACTGCAGTAATTTAAGCTTTACTCTGCAGATCCTCTAGAATATAAAAAGATACAGAAGAGTAATTTAATACTTAGATGTTTCAGCCAGCTGGCTAAAACCACACCTTGAAGCAAGAGATCACAGGAATAACACACTAGATGTTAAAATCCAAAGAATATAAACCACAAGAAATTGCGTCAATTGCTCCACGCAATATTGTTTTATTATTAAGAGGTGATCAAAGCTGGGGACAAGGAAGGCTGGCTCACAATGTGCAACACCACCTTTCAAAATAAACACTTCCCCCAAAAAAAGAGGAAAAAAAAAAAAAAAGCCCCCAACACAAAACAACTAACCATTCATCAATTTTTCTCTTAAAGAATGTAGTTCTAGCCACTCTTCAAGGACTTCTCTCAAATTCTTCTGCAGTACAAATATTTTCAGCACAGCATCACTACGTCTATCAGTCACCTCAAGTCAGTTATTTATGTAGAAGTAGCTCTGTAATGTTGTTAAAACATACTTGGAACTTTTTGGTAAAATTAAGACTCTCTCTAGAGGCATGCCTGTATGGTAATTAATCTTTATTGAAGAAGATTTTATACAGAATTTGCTTAATTCCAGAATCTTGTTTTCTTTTGAGAGTGGGGGCGAAAAAAAAAAAGGACACTTCCCATAAATGAGTAAAAATCACATTAAAAATGTAGGAAGTATTGCCTTCCATGTAAATAAGAACTGTTATTACATAATGTTCCTGCAACGACCAGAAAAAGGAAGACGATATGAGGACACTGTTAAGTATAAATTAGTTGCAGCAGTTACCTCTAAGAAATACTTCCTCATCAGCTAAAGATTAAGTTAAATAGGAGATAAAGTCAGAAGTCAAAAATCAATATGCAAGCTATCAGACTGTTTAAGAAAATTTGTATACTCTTATTAAAGCTTTTTCATCATCTGAACAGGACACACAGCTCCACCCCCCACCCCCAAACTCTGTTTCCAGTAACAGCTCCTGCTGCTCCAAGTGCTCTGTTTTCCCAGTGTATTTTTAGAAGATGCACTTCACACCATGGTTATGGGTAACACGGGTCAGGAGCCTTTTAGCAAAAAGCACAAGTAGCATCAACATATAGAGAGCTATTTTTCAACTACTTACTTTCTTTCCTTTCAAAATTGCCTCTTGTGGGAAAAAATCTTAGCTTCCCATATTCTTTCCTGTGCATTCTCAATCTCTCATGATGATGAGAGATTCATCATGATGGTGATCATGATGAATAATGTAGAAAATTTAAGACTTACAAGAAAAATTTTAATACAGTTTATAGTATTCCAGAACTATCTTCACTTTTCAGGTGAGTCAATGAAAATTTCACCACAATAAGACCTCTCATCAAACAATGCTGGCAGGACCTTGTCTATACACACAAAAATTCTTCATTTTTACCTTTTTGGAAGACGTACTACAGTAACTACTAACTCCTCATCCCAAAGCTGCCAACAGAGGGACAACAAGGATTTTGCACAGACTTTAAGCTGTAGGTTTCTTTAACAAGATACCTCATCATCCTGGTTGTACTGACTTCTGAGCAAAATTCACTGTGTCTTTCACTACTTCTGAATGAAAATAAAGAAGCAGAAAGCACACAATTTGATTCAATCATCTAGAAGAGATATACTCACTCTGGGATCATGATTAAAAGAAATACTTCACACCATTTTAAATTAATACATCCTCTCCCAACAGTTTCACCAATGCTGAAATAATTTTAATTGCTATTCAAAACAAAACTTACACAAGTATTTCATGAATTACAAACTCAAGAGAATGTGCCCAATTGTTTCCACTTCTGGAAGTATCTAAATGCCAAGATAATCCCATGGCCTTTTATAACAGATGGAAGTTTTACCATGGCCATTTTAATATTAGCTATGTTTGATTCAGCATTAGCACTCCAAAGTTCCAATAACAGAGATAATTTAAATGTACCTGCTCAAGATTTATATGTTATCTTTATTGAAATTCACACTGGATAACTTTAGCAAGTCTCTTTCTAGAATGAATTTTTTACCACAAACTATAATTTCAGGTTTTGCATATAGCAGGTGAAAAAAGAAATTTTTTTTAAAAAAACCAAAAACCAAAACATCACCAAAGAGATGAGATCAGGTCTCGGAAATAAAAATCAACCACCTACCATTCTCCCCCACTTTGGCTCACATGTTTTTAAGAGCCTCTGATTCAGTATATTATAAAATATTATATATTATTATAAAATAAGAAGACAATTAATTTCTAGCAATTGATGCATGGCAATATGGCAAAGCCTTATCAAGCTATTGTGAAATTCTCAAAGTTTATTCAACAGGCTTGGTCTGAATTATTCTCTCTACAGAAAGTAAGCCTGCCTGCTTGGCAAAATCTCAAAATAACTTGCATGATTTTCAAGTAACACAAATATGGCAGGTATAAGTAATATTTGCAGCTGGCAATTCTGAACTTCTCCATGCACAAAGAGATCCCAGTTTATTTTTTTCTACTGTTTTGTGATACTGTATACTATTGTAAGATCATAAGTTACAATATTGTAACAATATTTGTTACAAAACTAAAATTTAACTTTTCCCAACTACATTGTCCCGGAGCCTGCAACAGTGCACACCAACCCAGCAGTAATCCTGACAATTTTTCAATAAAGCTCCCCACTGATTCAGGAAACTGACCTGAACTAATAAATAATTTGCCAAATTGTGACCTTTGTGGAGGGCCAGTAACGGGGACTTCAGTTACTGATTGCATAGACTGAGCTTTGAATTTAGAAATCATATCACTTTCTACACCATCTCATATTTCATCTTTCAAATCTCTGCTTACACCATAGGGCACTTCAATACATGCAATACTTTCTCAAGGAAAAATCTGCCAATCCTATTTGTCCTTTATTTAAAAATTAGTATAGACTCTATATTCTTTCTCCACTGCCTCAAATTTTCCAAAGCATTTATTTTCCATCTGGACAGAAGAAAATACAGGAAAGTTTCAGCAAGCCTGAAAACAAGAAGACACAGTGGAAACTATGTGCAGCAGGACCAGTCGTGCTAGCACTGCCACAGAGGAGTCCTATCTGTCTAGGTCACTTACAGCCAACAAGATAAATTTCAAAACATTTCTAAGAGACATACTGTACTAAGAATGTCCTTTAGCTTGTCTATTCAAGGAATTGTCCACTGACAATGTTCCAACTTGAAGTTACTGCTTCTTATATAACTATGCATACCACACACACTCTTTGTGACTTACCAGAGGATCTCTTATCTCAGAAATCCACTCCATTATCCAGACACGTGTTACACCATGGGACTGACCTGTGATCCCTGCCCAGACTACCAACCCTAGCCATGAACCAGCCTTCTGCAGCTATAGCTGAAAGGCAGAAATTCCAGACAAACCTCCTTCTTATTGCTTTTATGCTAGATACATTGAATAAAGCCAAACAAAGCCAGACAACTGTGATAAATACAATATCCAATTAGGTTAATGCATATCAAGTAGTTTAGAATTCACTGAGCTCCTAGTGGGAAAAGGAGGCATAAATAAAATGCTCCAAATGAAAGATTTCAGATAGGTTTTAATAATGTTACAGAGCCTCCTCTACATCATTAGCTCACTGCAAAGATTTCTTGTAGTCGCTTCAAATCCTTAAGGCGGTAAGAAGCACAATCCAGGCAAAGCACCTGGACTTGCTTTTAGGACAAGTCAACTGAATGATACTGAAAATGTTCAGCCCAGGATGAGCTGAGTAACTAAACCATTGTGTATGGGGTGGAGAGCTAGCTGAAAGACACTTATGTCTATCTACCAAAGAAAATAGTTAAAATTTTGTATTAAAAATACTATCAGAGCACATCTCAGTTTCTTAATGAAACACTTCTCATTTGAGGAAACTTCAAAACTTCAGCTAACTAAGCAAATAAGCAGATGGAAGGGGAAAAAAAACAAAGTTAGATAGTTTAATGCCATATATTTGCTACCATTTGTTTTAAACTCTTAGCTCTGTCAAACCCCAGGCATTTAATTTACTAGCTTCCCCTTCAATTTAAAGTTACATACTTCTATAATCTTAGTTTGAGGGTTTTTGTTTGCTTTTTTAAAAGAGGGGGAAGAAAACAAAGCATTTAGGCCAGCTAGTATTATGAGCTACATTTAAAGCTCTTTGACACAGAATAACAGTGCTGTCTGTCCAGAGAATGCACAACACACACACAGCACCTACAAAACTTTTTCCTAACTCAGTATCTACAATATCAGTCAACCTCAATTTTTTGTACTCAATTCTATAGAAAGTATGTATATGTGCAATACTCAAAAGACAGAGGCTCAGACATTATCCCAATGCCAGAAGATATTTGTTCAGTGCTTTAACATATCCCTGTGAAGAATGTCACTCTAAATGACAAGAATTGTACTTTAACCTTAATTGTTGTTTAATTCACTACAAATGAAAATTTTTGCAAGGATATTTTACCTGCTGCATCAGGATTACTTCTTACTCTAAAACAACTACCAGCTTCATCTACAAGAAGTTGTTTGGTTTTTGTTCTTCCCCAGATGCATTGGGCATCTCTTGTCACAGAATGTGACCAGCTCAGACAGACCCATCATGCACGAAAGGTGTCTCTGCTATGCTGAAGATCCTGTTCTGAACAGGACAGCTCACCAGGCTTCACTGCACTCCTAAAAAAACAAACAGCTCCAGTTTTCTGGATTGAAAAACTTCTCTAGTGAAAATACTGCTACAGTCCTGAAAATAGATTGTTTGACAGCAAAAAAATTATTGGGTTTACATTCAACAGTAAAAACTGTTGAAGCAAGCAAGGAAAGAGGGCAGTCAGAGAAAGCCTTCTGTCAATTCTGCACATGGGAAGCAGATCTCAAGTAAGCCAGAGAGTAAAGAT